AGCATGTAACTCTATTGCGGTATCAATCAGAGGAGCGTTCACAAGTGGGCAAGCACTTTCTGAATTCCTTCTGTGTGGAATAACTCGAAAGCAAGAGCCTTTTATTTTGACTCTGCATGACGAACTATTTTTCCTGAATGTGCTGGCTGCATCCTTTCCCGCGGTTTCTGGTGTCAAAGCGCATACTTTAAGTTCAACATTTTCCCTTCAGATACTCCTTAGATCCATGATCTGCCACAAAAGCGAACGGAGGCGAGCTAAAACATGCCAAGTAATCCTTTGGGGAATTTTAGAAAAGCGTACTCCCACCAAACACTTAAGGATAAACAATGAAATTGGGAATAATTTTCTCCTGTCAGTGCTGGGTGCTGACTGAAAAAGTTCGTAGTTTCTTTTTGAGCATAATCAACCGCTCCATGCTTTACTTCGTAAGATCTCCTCAGATGCTCTGTGCAGCAATGTGTATTCCGCAGCTGGGAATGCCCTGACAGCAAGTGATATTAATGACTCATGTTTTCTATAGTAAGTAAAGACCGTTACGTAGGCCGGGTTGAACCGGTGGTAAGGTAGACAAGAAGAACGTTAAACGGCGAGCGGCAAAGATTATTAATTTAAACACTGAAATCATAAGCTAACATAAGTGGTCTTTAACATTTTCGCTGACAGTGCATTGTCGCTAGTGCTGTTCCGTAACGAAGAAGTATTTCTTAAGTCACTGCACATTCGAAATATTGCCTCCATTTTCCAACATGTGATGGCCATTTAGGGACAGTAAATTGAGAGGCACTCCTATCTAGTTGAATCATATCTTCTGTTGGAGTTGAGTTCCATTCGGTGTGCCAAATTAGTCCGGCTGTGATTACTTTTATTTTTAATTATAATCTACGATAAAAATGTGCTTGTAACCTATGGAGCTTACCTTACATCATCTACATCTTATAGTGCATGCGGTGTAAAAGGACAGAACGATACGAATTAAAAACACAACGCGATTTCTCCTACCTCATTTCTATAGGAATGCACTCCTGTGGGCAGAATGGTCGATCTACAGTCAGTTCGATGTTGTTTTTCATACAAATGCACTACAATATGAAGTGAAAATAATCCAATCTTCGGTTAGCTCTCAAATATGCATAAAAGATTACAGTGGTCAAGATTTCTCAATCTGAGTATAGTAGACATGCGTCAACATGAGCAATGGTGTGCACTAACTTGTCGATATTATGACAAAAGTCATTAGAATATTATTTGACAGCTATTATATATCGAATAGTAGAAAATAATAAAGATACGATGTGAGTTGGTTTGTTGAGTGCAGCGATTTGCGCGTCTGTGTTTCCTTTTGTGTAGGATGACGCGGGTACTAAACAGCACCTTTGTGCTGGTAGTGAACGGGACCAGGGCGGATGAACAATTGTCACGTTTAGCGGAAACCGAATAACAAGAAGTCATGCCCGATGACTGGACAAAACCATTTTGGACGTCAGTGTGCACTTCAATCATGTCTGAATTTATGCAAAAGGAGAAAGGCGCAGGAATAGAAAAAAACTATGTCTACGACCGAATATCGGGGAGATCATGCTTATGGTTAATCTTGTCGGAGTATTCCGAGAGGGCAAGGCCTGCAAGGACGTTTTAGCTGGCTACAATTCTTTTGGTAGAGTGACAAATGTCCAAGTATAACTATCGCAACAAACAGTTTAAGAACTATGGACAGCCTTTGGTAGGCCCTGTTCCAAAATTAAGACGCGCAGTTCGAGACAATACGTTGAATTGTTGGCTGTGTTGACAAGGCCAAAGTTTTCGGCAGAATGGCCCAGTTTGCAGAAAGTTGTCCTAGTCGTACGTTGAAAGCACCGATGCTTGTAAGGCAGAGGCAACTAGGCAATAATGCGCTGAAAAATATCGAATATTGTCTTCGGGCAGAGCCGAATAAGAGAACTCGCTAGGCGAATTTAGTCTGCCAAAATTTCCCGGCTGTGATTACTTTTATTTTTATTTTTAGTCGATGACAGAGACCTGCTTGCAACCCATCGGGTTTATCGCACGCCATCCACATCTTGCAGTGCAAGCAATGTAAAGGATTAGAACAGAAGGCATTAAAAAGACACACCGAGTGCTCTTACCTCATTTTAATAGCGAATGCATTCATGGACGTACAGTCAGCTCGACAAACCCGATTATGCCGTGTTTCAAAAATAGGCATTACAGTAAGAACTGGAAGTAGCCCAATACTCACCACAAATCTTCTAAAGGCTTTCAAAGATGCGTAGGCGATTACGATGGTCAAGCTTTGTTAGTTTTACAATAGTGGAAGTGTGCCAACGTGAACAACTATACATGCACTATCCTGTCGATCGTGGAACAAAAAATATCTTTGAACTATTTTACTGGCTAAAAAGAATAATAATACGATGCAAACAGGTGTGTGGAGTGCTGCGATTTGTGCGCATGTGGATCTTTTTGTGCGGGATACAGTTATAAAACGTCAACCCTTCCAGTCTATCCCGTCTGTGTGATAATAGGAGCATTTCACACTAGGGGGTTCTCGGACATTGCATTTACATCATTTATACAAATGTTCTGAGCGGTCAACCTGACTGATTAATTATAGCAAAAACGTTTAGATATAAAATTCCTAGAGTAGGACATTGAAAGCTCTGAGATGCAAAAAATTGGTATAAAGGGTTTAAAAGCCTTTCTGGAAATTCCTGTATGCTTTCTTAGCATACGGATGCGTGGGGTTGCACGTCGTCTTAAACTTGTTTCATTGACAGCTCAGTAAAGATTAAAAATAGAATAATTTTCGCTGAGTCCTGAGGGCTGAGTTTTGCATAGTCCGCCTGACCTGTTTTTATGCGTGAAGGTTCTGTTAAAGTGGAAAATAGTTGCTGTTCACTGTTACGCTGCATTCTACACTATTCAAGTAATTCCTTCCGCCTGAAATATGTTCGAGGTCGATCAAAACTTCGTGAGGTTTGCCACCTGCTTACTTAGCGATCTGCTTGACAGGATTTTCAGGATCCCCGTCCCGGCAAAAATTACGACAAAATCGCTGCCTGAACTGAAATTTCACCTATAGTGACTCAATTTGTTTATCCTATCGATGCTAGATTTAGATACCAACCACTAATGCCATTGCTTACGCGAGAGGTGCGCCAGTCGGGGAGGAGGTTAAGTTACGCCATCAGGTTCCAAAGGGACTCGAAAGGTAACCCTGTCGGCGGTGGTGAGCCGAACTGTCAGAGAGTTTCACTCCAGTGGGCGATTGCGCTCTGCGAACGCATTATAAAAATCGAAAACAGATTTGCCTTCAAAAAAGACGATTCTACAGCCTGTAGGATTTGAAGCTGCTTGGCGTCTTGAGTACTAAAATCCTGTGAAATCCTACTTCGGAGACGCCCATGTGCGGTTTTTTCTCAGTTATTTCTGTCGTAAACACAAATCAGGTCTTTTTTTCTGAATAGATGGCGCGTGCCTCCAGCGATACGACTTGTGAAAAATCGCAAGAAATTAAGGTTTCGTCCAACAACCTTGCTTTACCCTTAAAAAAACCAGTAAAATATAGTGCATGGTCAAATCCCACGCCTCCGAAGCAATGGAAAATTTTACCAGCACATTGTGAAATTATCATTTATTTAATCAGTCACGGAAGGGCAATATTCCTTTAGTTAGTGGAGCTGCTGCCTTGTCCACACAGTACTTTTGTTTTCGGAATCTCATGACCAATATACACGCAAGCAAAATCCCGAAGGAGTCGAATCGTAGTCGACAAAGATGTTGCGACATGTAAAATGTAAATAGCCATATTCACCGAGGCAATGTGGTGCCGATTAATGGAGACAGACCTTTCCCCCTATAGAAAACTGCCCAGAATGGATGGCCATTAGAATTCTTGTCAAGGGTATGGTGGAGGACCCCACTTAACTGTCGGTAGGCTGTAGATCGTGTCTTGTGGCGTTTTATCTTGGCATTCATTTGCAGGCCATTACAGACATCACATTGCCAGCAACAGTTATTTCATATGATACCACATCATTACTCAAAGTCCGTTATTGTTTGAAAATTTGTTTTTTGTACATTTTTATTTGACGAGCTCGTTTCTGGCGCCGCACAAAAGCATACGGTAAGAATTTCGGCAGAATCCAAACAATTTCTGGGTTTTCTTGCATTTTGTCAGTTTACTGTCTAGCGTTCCGCACCACCCAAACAATTCCCATTACCATCGTTCCCATTGGCAGTTAATCAGGATCCTTCTTCTTGCTAAAGCTTCGGAAAGGCAGCTGATACGATGTTGGTATTTATTGAGTGCACTGAATACCAAGAGATCTTCGAACTGCTTGACTTCTGCGATGATTCCACTGAAAACATTGAAGAAGGCAATTTTGGCGAACGTGATATGCAGAAACCCATCCTTAGGTCTGTGAAGTAAAACTACAAAGTTATAATAGCCAACAATTATTAGTCATCGTGGAGAGGGGAGATGAAAGTGCGGAGGAGTCACGGGCCTTAGAGTCCCCTGGACACTGGTATGTTTGTTTCCGCATCCGTGCTACAGTGACGAAACTTAAGCATGGGTAGGCTCCTCCTCTACCCTTAGGCTCCTGACAGGAGCGACATGTCATGACGTCCTCAAACCTCTCCGGCATAAGTACTGTTTATTGACTGTCATATCTTTCGCTACCTTAACGTCAACTTCGTATTAATAATATACAGTCCTGAGGATGGGTAATCAAAAACGTACATATCAGAACTTATCTTCTTCAATGTACCCATGACAGGACTTTTTATTCGCTACAATCCTTTATTACTGAACCATTACTACATTTACTGAACCATTACAGCCTTACAGACTCGACTCGCTGGGGTAGTTAACGAAAACAAAAGTATTGACATGCTTCGGGCGAAGACAGCCAATGAGATAGCACTTTGGATTTTAGACGTTCCGAACTTCTAAAATAAATACAGAGTCTGTGAGAGTATAACACATGATAGTTATAATGCACGTTGGAGCATTCCTTCATCTCTTGGTAGCCGGTTTCGCCCTTTTTGAATTGGGGTAAGTAAGCGGTTCCTAGGTCCTGAAATGTAAACTTTATTTAGCGATTTTTTCCAGTGGGAGTGAGGGTGACGTCCTTACGCTAATGATTATGAATGCTTTACGAGCTGGCATCTGACCCCTTAGAAGATATCGAACCTTACTTTACTCTAAATAGTATTTAACATATACGTCAGTGACTTTCCAATCACAAGTGACTTTGTCTCCGTTTTGATAAAAATTGATGTGTTTGACCCCATTACTTTACATTTCTATAGTTCGTAAACTATCTCCAACTTGATTGTGTGTACCGGCTACTCTTAAAAACACTGAGATGGTTACTATTCAGCATCCTTTGTCGAATATATTAAGTTAGTTAGTTAGTTAATGAATTTCGATAGTTGTTGCAGATAGAGGGAAACAAAAATTACCCTTCGCATTTCCAAGTTCTCAAAAACACAGGAAGCGTATGGTGCGCCTAAAATGAGCAAACCATCTCCACGGGCTGTAACGTCTACTGATTTTCGGGAAATTACTCATATTTTTGTGGCAGTCAACTCTATCGTGTGCATTATGCGACTTGTGGATTGATGTTCGCTGCCAAAAATCTCAAAAAGTCTAATTATATATAAAAGCACAACCCCCTGTTACTTATCAGAGTGCTCTTACACTATGATACTCAAGTCTAAGCCAGTATTTCACAAAAACGTATTTAATTAACACGGAAATATGCATAACAGCGACCGTGTAACGGTAATATGCGTCAATTTTAGGTATGGCCAAGGTTTTTGCAACTGGAGTAGACGTATAATCCCAAGTGGAGCGACCGGACACTTCACTGCGGAAGTGCCCATATACTATAGTTATAGGGTAAGTTCATAAGTCGTTAAAGTGTTTATAAATCCAATAACTTCTGAATACCGAGCGCGCTTCTAATGTTATGTATGATTTGTAGTGTGGGTACATAAATAATGTACCCTTCGGAACATATCCATGGGCGAGGGGCTGGTGCACGCACAAACAGGACTATTTTCGGTGTTCCTACGGAAAACGTATGCTCCAGATCATTTTTTATTCCTTGGACGGAGATTTGCTATTAATGCAAAAGGTTTTGCAGCACACTTTAGTAGCCTATTACGGACAAAGTACTTTATTACATCGACAGATTACGATCACCTGTGTAATTAAATAACTGTTCCTCTCCTCAACAGTGCGTTTAACTTATTTTTATGGTGCATTTCTTTCTGATATGCAACATTGCGATGTGTAAAAATTAGAGTGTCATGTAACTGTTCAATCCCCTAAAATCTCTATCAGCTGATTGGTCCTATTTGTTGTCAATCTTCTAAGGTGACGGCACACACACGACGGTCCTTACGCTCCCACAAATCGAAACAATTTCGTATGTCATGTTAGAAGATAGCCACCCAATCACTCTTCACAGACCGGATGATAAAACCGTCCGTACGTACGGAAAATTCCCTTTTTGACTTAAATATTCGATTCGCCCCTTTTTGCGTACGCCTTCAATAACGATTGCTTTTTGTGCAATTATATTTGATTAAAATGCATTCTTCTATAGCTGGCTTTTACGTAAAGGAGAACGATCAATTGGACGTCCGTTCGCAGTACTACACAGTCGCTTTGTGGTGGCATTTCAATGGCAATGAATCTGACCTACATAATGTAAGCTATTCAAGACCGACGCCTATGATCTTATACTAAGTTGGGGCCGATGAAGTTCACAGAATCATGTTTTTCTCCTTGACAGATCAGTTGTTACTTAAATGGAAGACGTTTTTGTAGTGGAGTGAGGCCGTATGGAACGAAAGGACGCACAAAATGCGGTAAAAGATAAATTATTATTGGCATTTTCTGCGACATTTAGTGTTACAACGGTTTATAGCAATGTTGTTATCACCATAGTTGGCGAATATCGGTTGTAAGTTGAACCGTGGTATAAACATCAGCAAAGGATTAGTGTTGGTACCTTTTCCGAAGCGTGTGCACAATGTATTGTGATGGGTTATGATTTAACCATTTGTTTTTGTAGTTCAGATATACTCACTTGGCGTTTTGAGTTGACCCAGTTTCTTAAAGCACTTTGATATTGAGAAGTTTAATCTCAAGTGCTGCAGTACAATCTCCGATTTATTTACAACTATTTTAGGTTTTCAGAAGGCAGAGGGCAGAATACACATAGGATACATGTTTTACAAACCAGAAACACGGTTCGGATACTATTACTGTTACGTAGACAAGGAGCAAACTAGGGCCCTCACCTATATCGTCGATTGGAAAGGTTAGTTTAAAAGTGCTTTTTTAGTCCTATGCTAATTACGCGCGGTACTCTACATGTTACACATCCCAATTCTCACTAATGTATCTGACCGACCCCAGATATTGGTATGTCTTTCCAATTTCAAGACATTGCAAATTATGCATATTCAGTGATCATTATCCAAATGTAAAATCTTACTTCAGGGTACCATCTGATGAGCTCGAAGTGCTAATGAGATCCACTCGAAACATTTTGAATGAACGCATGTTTATCTATTCATTTCGTTGTCATTGCAAAACTTAAGTCGTGACGAGATGCGTAAAAAACTGCAACGACAAAAGAACGCACATGGTGTATTTACTAAGTCAATCAGATCTGCCAAAATAAGACTGCATCGGTGAGTAAGAATTTTTATGGTCGCAGGAATTGACGTATTTTGAGCCTTTTTCGAGGAAAAACTCAGGGATGAGTATTTGCAAACATTCAATGTTTCCTATGTCACCGACGTCAGTCGTTTTTGGCTCAGGTCAGTGCGGGAAAAATGCTCGAGATTTTAAAATAAAGTGCACTCTTTGAATCTTTATAACTGCAGCCTACATACAAGGCTGCGCTTTCGTCTACCGAAGTGTCGGAAGTCATTCACGCAACAACCTTGAAGTAGCAATTGAAAACGTGATAACTAGGACAAATCCGGCCTCTATGAACAATGAAACGACATTGACTTAATGCGAGCGCACGTCAACTGTTCAATAAATAGTGGTGTGCTGGCAATGTGTAGGCGAGGTTGTTCCTTGCATGGAATACTCGTATCTGCTTTTGTCTCAGATGATGGGTTCGAGCAGCAATCAGAAACGTTCGGCTAATGAAGCTCTTGTCCCGACGATCGTATCTGTTTCTTCACATATATTTTTTTGTCCGCCAGTTGTGAGTTGGAGGCAGTGAGCTTGGTCTGCTTCCTGGAATGTAGCGAACCTCAAATGATTGTGCATTTGGCAGTTTTGTGAAACCCCTTGGCAGGGATAATTTAATATCAGGCAGTCTTAAAATTTAATCTAAATACACAGTTAAATACCAAATGCCTATAATGGGTAATTAAGTGCAGGAATTCAAGATGAATTTTATCTAGGCTTTTCCTGTGTGCCAGACGTAGTAATTATTTTGGGCCCCAACTCTCGTGGTAAATAAACGCGCCAGTTTGTTAACACGAGTCAAATAAATAGTTTATAATGGATTTAAAATGTCTCTTTGCACTTGTCTTAAATAACTATTTTAAAAGACTTTGATTTTCACGAATGGAAGAGAATATGCGCATCCCAGGTTCTTGTTTAAAAGAGGACGAAGGCACAGCTCACATCGCCGCGAAGAGCAAACGGCGTCAACGCGCCGGGGGACCATCGTTGACCAGGCGGCATAAACCAGACCTAGCCACGGACGTAGTCCCCCCTTGCGACAAAACGATATAAATGTGCACACGTTGCCGCATTCTAGCAGTCTCTGATGATGAACCTCAATGCGAGTTCGAAAGCTAAAGCCAGTAAATCTACCGTCCCAGTGATCGTGCCCTCGTCCTCTTTTAGACTTGGATTCTGATCATATATGAGAGCTGCGACAAACAGTTAACCCATCCACAACTACTACCACAACGGCTGTATAATCAAGTTTATCTGACATGGTTATCAAACTGAAATCACTGCCCATCCGGACCCATTATAGATGCCAAAAAAACGAGGGACACGTCTATCATGGCAGAGTTGAATGCGCATCGGAACACTACGAACGTCCCGCCTATAACAACCTCTGGTGCAAACATAATGCCGTGTAAGTCGTTGACAAACCGCAGTTCGGTGTGTCTATGCGGCAATATACGGAAATAGGGAGCTTCGTTAATGCAGTTGTCCTTGAGCCATGTTCTAGAGTGTCTGCTTAATCCCGTGCCATCACACTGACACACTTACCCTAAGTCTAACTCAGCTCGTACACTAACCCTGACCTCAAAGTTAACCCAAACCCTATCTCGAACTGAATCCACCACACTAATCTCCAAGGGATTTAATGCAAAGCGGTTCTTTATTCGCTCGTCATACAGCCAATATTAATAAAAGGCCGTAAGGTAAAATGCTGGATAAATATTTTGACAATTAATCGCTTGATTCTTTTTACATACGCTGCCTCTATTTTTAGCTCATTATTGAGACGAACACCGACAGTTTGACCTAACTGTCGTACATTATTTATATGCAAAACTGCAAAATCAGCTGACAGTTTTTACAGTTGCCAGATTCAAAAAACTTGTACTTTATTTGAAACCTTCAGGTGAGGTCTCACTGGCGTGGATGTGGATGGTTATAGCAAAGCAACTGGGAGCAATGTGAACACGTTAGGGATCACATGGATAAAACGACCACCCAAAAGTGGTTGCGAAAAACTTCAGTTTTCTATCAAATTAACCATTTTATGCACTCTTTTCTTCAAAATTTTGAACCGATGCTGTTCATTCACTTAACGATTGAACTACAATAGTCGGATAATGATTTGAAATTGCCAAGAGACGTGGAGTTTAAACCAATTATCGTATTAAAATCTGTTTCGGAGCAAAAGTAATTGGATAACTAATCTTTGTCGTAGCATCTTCCGTTGGCGCAACAAGGAGCACCTGCAAGCGCATACTGCTTAGGAGCACAATACTAACAGATATCCATTAATTTTTAGTTTGTGTTTTAGCGGGTCTCACTGTTTTAGAGACAGTAGAGCTTATGATGATTTAGGTACTCGACACATTACAAGTGCCTGAATTCACGTATCATTTCTAATCACTCGAGACCCAACCTTAATAAATCGACCAAATGCTCCAATTAATAATGAATGACCGTAGCGTAAATAAAGGCGCAAATTGAGCATTAAAACTAATATTACATCGGTTAGACATAACTATATCTCAAGAACTTGCAAATGGCTAAAACGCCAAAACAATCATGTCTAACGAGAAAACTTTAGTTTAACAATGCCTAAGGTCTGTTCATGCGAATATCTGATCCATTAAAACAGCAAAATCAGATCAACAGTCGAAATTAGTCCTTCGGCGCAGTTTTGAGTTAACTATTCTCCAAACAGTAGGGTACCATCAATTGTGGTGGTAAACAAACAGCCTTCAGCTTCAATAAAAACTTCTGACCTTTCTCCGACTGTGTATCATTTGCGATACCGTTGACCAAGACAACAGCAGCACCCTATATGACTTCACCAATTGTATCTTGATATAAATAGGAGTATTCCTAATGTCAAATTTCAACAGGGCGACTAGTGACTATGAAATGGGATAAAATTAGTGACGCAATTATAAGCATACTGCTTTGAGGAAATCGAGAGAAATTTCTTCCGTGAAGCTACTGTGTGGTTTTCTCTGGCAATAGGTTCTGCTGAGTTTCAGAGATTCCTTGAAATGCCATTAAATGTGTCGCGATTTTCAGCTCTCGCATTCAGTTGCCAATAAAAAGGTTCTATGTTGTGCTTGTAAAAACCTCAAAATAAGGCATTCCTTGAAATCATTTAACGAAATATCGCGTTATACGGCATTTTATTTACGCAAAGGGCTCTTTTGGTCAAATTTGTGGACTATTCCAAGCGAGAAACCTCATCGTTAAAAAATAAACGTTCACAAGCAAATCGGCGATAAATTATCTCTGGAGCCATCGAAACTCTCCATATTAAGTAGCCTGATCAATAATTTTTTGATCAGGCAATTCGCTGGCGAATGTCCGCTTTCTTTAACATTTTACAATGAGACACTCAAGCAAACTTGGATCTTTTGGCTGGTCTTTTAGTCCCCTCGAATTTAATGATGATTTTTATCCAGCGATCGAAATAAATAATGTATCTCCTTTATTGTAGTAGGTTTGATATTTTGCTTACTTTTAGGCCCCAACTCACGATTGGAAATACACGATAGAGTGACCGCATAAATTCTGCCAGTCATGCCTAAGGATGCCTGACGGTTCGACGGTCGTTGTCGACGATGTCCACCGTGTGCTTCAAAGCAAAGTAGAGTACGGACGGTGAATTTTGCGTGAATTAGGTTATATTGCTAGAAGATCTGCGCCGCAACTACCGCACTCTCTCCTCCCCGCACCTGGGCCCGATGTCAAGACAGAGGCAAGAAGACCGGGGGCGAGGGAGGGCACAGCTGGATGGCACGGTCGAGCCCGCACCTTGGCGTTCCACTCCACACCCCCCGGGGCACACTGCAAAAGACTAGGTTTTTGACTAACTAGAACAATGGGGAGGAGGGCGGCAGGGCTTCCAATGGGCGCGAGGTCTGCCGGCAACCGGGTCTACACCGCACCCCGGAATGTTGACATTTGTTATGGTGCGCAAATGCGATAACGCCTGCCAGAATCCGATATGGCTTCCCTGCTGGTCCAGCTCATCTAACTCTCCACCAAACGCTCTAGTTCACAATATGCACTTGGCCAGGATTTTTCACCACCAACAACAACAGTCACAACAGGCTTCAAAAGGATGAGGATGACTGGGCAGTCATACCCATCACCTGTATGCCTTGCGGTAACGCACGCACATCTACCGGAAGGGAACCGGGTGTCAGCGAACTGCCAGCGCATACCAGGCTACGAGAGCAATGGCTTGCTGATGGTTGCATAACACACGCTTTTAGACCTTTTGACGTAGAAGACTGCACGTGGTTTTGCGTCTAGCCTGGACCTCCACCCTCCAAGATTGGGTAACCAATTAGTTTTCGACTGAGAGGAACTATTAATAAACTGAGGGTATATAACGTGTGCATCACAGTAGGGTAGGAGTAGGGACGGTGACATGCCTGTGGGTTAGTCTATAGTGACAAAAGACTTGCGTAACCCCTAACACACTCCCTGGTCTTCCTCCTCCTGGCGCATCTTTGTCGGTTGTCATGACAGAGTGTAGAATACCGGAGCCGAGAGAAGACTCAAGGCCGATAGCTTGGCGTGTAACCACACCTCATGGCCTACAACGCAAACTGACCTGAATTTCCTATAACAAGACAAAGAAGTGGAGAGGTGTTTTGAGTTCCCACTGAATGGGAGTGCCATAAAGGCCACATTAGTCAGGAACCATTGCAGCCTGACTTTCAAACCCAGAGAGCGACTGAGTTATCCCGTCAGCTGGCAGTACATCAAGCCACGGTTTATAGCGCAGCATAATATATTCGAGCGTTTCAGATTGCTTGTATTTAGAGAGGAGTATTTGAAGAAGAAGAAGAAGAATCGAGCACCGGAACAATTCGTTTATTATCCTGAGCTTTCAGACTCGTACAGGAGTCCATCGTCAGAGGTAGTGGCAGAAACAGGACAAGCGGCAGTTATAAGGCACGTAGACCCAATCATCGACCGACGTCGCACGACTGGAGGTGACTACGAAGGGCTCTGTACGCCGGCGCCAGATCGATAAATCGATTGACCGAGTTCTCATCCGAGGCCCAGGCTTCAATCAATTCTCGGCCTGTTTTGTTTCCGGCGTGGGCAACTATTTTGGTGGCTGCTAAGTCAAACTCGTGACCCATTTCGTAGGTGTGGGCGGCCACTTGTGACAATGCGTCGCCTCGCCTCACAGCCAGCTTATGTTCATGTATGCGCGATCCGAGCATGCGTCCAGTCTGTCCTGTGTAATTACAAGGACAATTTTGACACGGAATGCGATACACTACTCCAGATTGCTCTTCAGGTTTTAACCGGTCTTTGATCTTCATGACCCTGTTGCGCATGGTGGCTTTGGGGCGGTGTGCGATTCCAACCCCTAGCTCCGCAGCAATGCGCTCGGTCGCCTCTGAAACACCCTTGATGTATGGCAGAGAATGCCATATCGTCGGTGGCGTTGATGTTTGAGTTCTCTGGTGGCGACCGCGTAGGCAGCGACTTATAAATGCCCTCGGATAGCCATTTTGCACAAACTGGTCGCGGAGATAACGGGCCTCACGCGCTCTATCTTCCAGTTTGCTGCAATGAGTTTGGATCCGTTTGAAGAGTGTCTTCACACAGCTTCGTTTGTGAGCCACCGGATGGTTGCTGTGAAAACTGAGAAGCTGTGTGGTGTTCGTTGCCTTCCTATAAACCGGAGTATGTGCTCAGTCCGACTTATTGTCTGATAAGGTAGTGGGCGCAGTGACTGACGTAGCTACTGACCTCGTCTGCACCTGTCACCTGCACCAGTATTTCACTAAACGGGGATAGGCAGCATGAGTCTCACATGCGTTTGACTGCCAGAGGTCACGTCAAGAAGGGGTGCATTGAGTGACGGTACTGGAGAGCCAGTTTGTGCATGCCAGATAAACTGCCTGCTCCCTAATCGCATGCCGAGGACTGCATGCACTGAGCTGCTTGCGTGGTCTAAGTTGAATTGTCAGTTGGCGACCATTCAAACTATAATTTTTAGCACATCTCGACCATCGACGCACTCTCTCGCATTCTTCTGATGCTCACCAGGAGACTGTCCGAACCGGTCAACCGGTTATGGCAGGTGGTTGACAGAACAGAAAACAGCTCTTCTACGCGTGCCACACACACGACCTGCCCCCGGCACGTACACACTAGGATGACTCATAAGATTTAGATTGATTGGATCCTCTTTGTGGCAGAGAAGCCACATGAATAAGTGACCAAAGGTCACGCCTCCAACTTATGTGGGAAATGTCTACTTCGTACCTGTGCTGTGTGATGTCGGAGGTGTGCATATGTGTTGATGGGAAAATGTGCAGTGATGTGGTCTAGTCAGCAGTGATTTACTGTAGGCTTCATGAGGGCGCATGGGACTGGATAAATCAATGTGATGTCTGATTGTGCGAGGGCACTGCGGGCAGTTGAGGCGATGTTGGTAGGTGTGTTGGTGCTCCAGGCATTGGTTTGCCACTCTCAGGGTTCGCAAGGAAATCACCAGGCCAGTGCGTGAGGTACGTTGCGGTGACATTGTGGACAGGATAACCTGGGTAATACTGACATGGTTGGAGTTATTATGCTGATGATGTTGGCCCCATCGGGCTTGGGATGATAGAATTGGTGGGTTAGCAATGTATGCTTGAAGTGTCGGCACTGTTGTAGATTCCATTGCCATGACCGAATAGGCAACTGTTATGAACGAATGTTCATGGACCGTGCGGAAAATCGAGGTGTAAGTGGCGGATTCTTACGCTGGTGCTAAAGCCTCATTGCAATGGATTCGAAAGTGCTCGTATTCGTGAACAGTAGTCGTGTATAGACGCACTGAGGCCTGAATGAACCGGCTATTGGGAGTTGGCCATCGCACCAGTAAACGACGTGGATCCCGGGGCGCTTATCCCGGTAGGCGTCCATCAGCACGGCAGAAAACGTGAAAGTGAAGAGAGTGGGAG